TCAATGTGGACCTGGGAGGTGACGAACCCTGCTTTTACCTAGGTTGTAATCTTCCCTCCAATATCCTATATACACTTATTTTTTTTTCTTTTCCTCATGACTTTTGTTACGGTTTTCTGTGCTCACATTTCTTTTTATTGATGTACATTATTTACTGATTTTTTTACTAAAGGCCTAGAAGAGGTCAACTTTGATATTGTCTGTATGTTAGAAAATGTCTTTATCTTTTTCTTATACAGAGAGCTTTGCTAGGTGTTTAATTTAGTTTCTTATTTATTTTTCCTCTTGTTATTTAATATTTCAGAGCTTTCATATCTTTATGGGAATAAAGCACTAAGAATGATGAGTATAAAAGAAGATGCATGCAGAGCTTGCTAATCAAGTTGCTTAGCAGATGTAAGGTTGTCAATAAAGACAGTTGTTGTTATTATTATTATAATTTTTAAAAAGTGCATTCTCAGAAAATGACTGCTTAAGACTGAGGAGAGGAAATTCACACCAAAAAAACTTGGATAGTTGGCATTACTGGGACTTTAATTCTTAGCCCTTGGATATCTTCAGCTGTGGTCATCTGCAAAATAAATACAGATTATACAATCTGTTCATGGAAATCCAAGGTAGGACAGCACAGCCAGCCTTGTGCCTCTGATGCTTTGAGCTGCTTATTGGGGAAGGTCTGTTATAACTGCCTTGTTGTATTCTGTGCAGAGAAATATTTTTGAAAGACTCTTTTCCCTCAGATATTCCCTGAGTTTTATTCATTTTTACATACAAACATTCTAGATTCTCAGTATTGCTCTAGATTCAGTCTTCCTAGATACCTAGATACCTAGTCATTTCAGCTCCCAAGTCCCAGGGATGATTGCAGAGTCATGTCTGATCCGCTCTTTCCATTTTGGCCTATTTTTTTATAATGGAGGACCCATGAAGAAAGAGGTGACATTGAGACAGATTGATCTGGAAGTCCTGGTGAATCTGAACTTCAGAGAATAAAGTAGTATAAGGGAAACTTGAGATTACCATGGCTTTGGAGGTGGAGATAAATGTAGGAACAGATACGGGCATGATGGTTGACACAAATCAGGAGAGATGTGTTGCAGTTTCCTAAGAGAAAAAAATCTCACACTGATGAAGATATGATTTTAGATCATGGCAATTTCTGTGCCATTTTCACCTATTCTGGTATTTCTGTGGGATAAAATGATGTGAAACCACAAGACACAACTTGCAGTTGCCTTTCAGAACTTAATGAAGGAAAATAACTTTTATACTAGTCCCTCATAAACCAAACAAGGGACATGTGAAAAAGGGCCCAGAGACTGTGTTCAACAAATGTGATTTATTTCTAATCCAGTCAACCTTCTTTGGAGTCTGACTGGGCAAAGAGAGCCTCAGGCAGATCTAGTCATTGCAGCTTTCTCAGGTCTAGGTGTGGCACACAATAGCCTAGACATCATAACTGAATCTCATAGTCTTCCTCCTTCTTCCGTAGGCACATGGTGACCTGTAAAGGTGAAGAGGGGGCCTCAGGATGGACTGTTGAGCTGTGCAAGTATGAGAGACTACAAGGCAAAAAGATGGCCAAAGCCACAGAGACCAGACATGTCCCTCTCCTTTTTTTTATTTAATTTTCTCCCTCAGTCCTTCTGTTTCTTTTCTTTTTTTCTCTTCCAGCTCTTTGTTTTTCTCTCCCCCTTTTCACTTTCATTTATTCTACCATTTTTCCTCTGATAACCCCTTCATTATATTCTCTCTCTCTCTCTCTCTCTCTCTCCTCTCCTCTCCTCTCCTCTCCTCTCCTCTCCCCATCACATGCTCTAGCTTATTTGAGGTAAACTGGCATACAATAAACTGCATACATTTAAAGTAAATGCTTTGGTAAGTTTTTACTATAACATTATAACTTATTGAACCATCAACTCAAGGATAGTTTACCCATCCTCGGAATGCCCATCATCCCTAAAAGTGTCCTCACACTCCTATGTAATTCCTCCTTCCCTGCAATTTGCAGACACATTCTTATTCCCAGGCAACCACTAAACTGATTTCTGTCCCTATAGATTAGCTAGTATTTTCTAGAATTTGTTTATAAATGGAATGATACAGTAAAGATGATCTTCTTTGTCATCTTTCACACAGCATAATTATCTTGAGGTTTATGCATGTCATTATATGTGTTAATAATTCTTCCCTTTTTATTGATAAATAATATTTCATTGTGGGGATATACTACAGTTAGTTTATCTATTCACCTGTTGAACATCTTGGTTGTTTTCCACTTGGGGCTAGTACAAACAAACCTATTATAAACATTTGTGTACAAATCTCTTTGTATAGGCATGTGTTTTTATTTCCCTTGGATAAATTCCTAGCAGTAGAATGGCTTGGTAAGTGTAAACAGCCAAGCTACTTTTCACTAGCACTATGTAAGAGTTCCAGTTGCTTCACATATTTGCCAACATTTGTTATAATGGGTCTTTTTAAATTTGAGCCATTCTCATATGTAGTGGTACCTCTACCACTATGATAGACTTGTGACTTTCAATAATGACTACTGTTGAGAAAAGAAACATGCAAGCCCACGCAGACTGCGAAAAATATTTACAAAACATATGGCCATCAGAGGACTTGTATTTATAATAAGTCATGTACCACATAACAAGGATGTGTTCTGAAAATGTGTCTTTAGGTGATTTCTTCATTGTGTGAACATCATGGAGTACACTAATATAAACCTACACATATAGGCTATATGGTGTAGCCTGTTTCTCCAAGGTTACAAGTCTGTACAGCATGCGATTAAATCAAGCACAAGGGAAAATGATGCAATTGTGAGATGAAATCAATATGAAATGTCTGAGGTTGCTGCCAGCATAACACAGCATACTGTTTTACAGCAAACATTTTTGTATCAGTAGAAAGACTACACTCTAAGGCAATGATAAAAAGTATGATATAGTAAATACATAACCGGTAACAGTTATTTATTATCATTATCAAGTACTATGCACTATACAGAATCGTCTGTGCTACACTTTTATGTGACTGGCAGTGCAGTAGGTTTGTTTACACCAGTATTACCACAAACATGTGAGTGATGTGTTTTTGCTATGACTTTACCACGGTTACAATGTCACTAGGTGATAGGAATTTTTCAGCTCCATCATAATCTTATGAAACCACCATCATATATGCCATTTATCATTGACCAAAATATTGTTCTGCAGTGCATGGCTACATATAAAATCACTCTTATGGCCCAATAGCAAAAAAACAAGTATCACTTCTTTGCTTACCAGAAAACAGCAAATCAGGCATGTGATGAGAACCAGGAATCCCGCCAAGCAGATGAGGATGATGCCCCAGAAGGGGAAATCTGGGGAGACAAGTGCTGGGGTGAGCAACTTCCCATCATTCCTACAGTGCTCCTGCTGTCCCCTCACTGTGCCTCAACAGTCCTTGACATAGGTAGGCCAACTGTCATTATCATCCAAGTTCTTTTGTGCATGATTCTCTTGAATGAGTCACAGCATCAAGCTCTTCCCTCCCTAGGCTGAAGTTGCTATGAGGCTTACCAGAATTCTTAGTCAAGGCATTAGGTCTGTTTGGAGAATACCCTGAAAGTGAATAAAATGAAGAATGCACGTGAGTGTGTTGTACTCTTTTCAATAAAATATTTTCAAATACAAAGAAAAATAGAACAACATCATAACCATCTATCGTCTAGATTTAGCAATAAATATTTCAACCAATTGAAATTATATTTCATCAAATGCATAAATTATTGACTCTTGGCACTTTTGCTTCATCCCATATTTTCACTGAAATATTAAAGTAAAATAGACATCATAATGTTTCACCTCATTTCAGTGTGCATCTCTAAGAAATGAGGATACTTTGCTAGATAACCCAAGGCCATTAGTACACAAAAGAGCATTAAATCAAATTCATACCTCTGCACAGAGAACTGAAAATAGGCTGGACTATTTTATGAGGGTCACGGAGAGAATGGATCATCACAGTTGGCAAACCCACGGGATCTCGCTAAATATGTAAATTCCCACTCAAAATCTCTCTTTTCTGCCTAGAAACACATTCACCCCTCTCCTTTACCTTTATAAATTAATACAATTTTCTAGGATTTGCCTATAAAATAATTTCCTCCAAGAAAGCTTCTCTGATCATTACTCCCAAATAAGAATTGGTTCACATCAAATAATTTAAAATTGACAACTGCCTATTTTTGTCATTCCCAACTACAACATAAACTACATGAGGGTAAAGACACATAGCACCTATTGGGAATGGGAGGAGGGTTGCGGGACCCCTATTTCTACATCTTCTCCCCATCCAACTTTTTAAGATGTGATGTCCAATATGGAGCTAGCAGAGGAACTTCTTAAATTAAGATTAATTTTAATAAAATAAAATTTAAAATCTGGTCCCTCAGTTACATTAAAAATCACTAATGATAAAAATTAGTCACATTAGCCATACATCAGATACTCAATAGTTACATGTGGCTAATGCACTGGACGGCACAGATAGAAAACATTTTTTTCATCCTAAGAAGTTCTATTGGATGGTAATGATCTAGAGTATATACAGCTGTGGGCCAAGTCAGGCCCATTGCCTGTTTTTATACAGCCTGTGAATCAGAAAATTGATCTATCTCACCACACCTTTCAAGGCTGGCTTACACACAGTTTGTTGTTTGGAGGCCCTCACTGACCACCTGGCCAAGTGGCTTTCAGTACAGAGATAAGGAAACAGAAGTCCAGAGAAGAAAAGTGACTAGACTGAAGTCATAGAGCTGTCTAGGAAAAGGCAAATGCCTCCTCTATCCCACTAGGTGTCCTTTCCTCTCCCTCAATAGTAGGTAAATCCTGGGGACTGTGCCACCTCCTGCCAGCCTGAAAAAGTTCAATGTTCCGGCCTTCATAATCCCAGGACAGGCCCCAGGTGTGGAAGTTGGACCTCATCGCACTCCTGCCCCAATGACCAAGAAGACTTACCATCCACTAGGACACTGCTCCTGTCCAGGGTAAAGTTCTGCAGCTGGGTGCCATTCTGGGTCAGCCGCAGGAATTCTTCATAGATGGCAACTCTATCCATTTTCTGTGCCAATGGTGAGAAGTTGCACTGGGAGTCTACCCCAGTGTGGTTGCTGGGGGGGACAGACCTGGAAAGACACAAGGGATAAACAGGGGTATCTGGAATTCTACCCTGCCTCTAGCTTTCCTGCTTCCAGTTTCTGTCCAAGAGAGCTTTCTGCAATGATGTAAACATTTGTGACTGCATTATCCAATACAGTCTTATTAGCCATGTTTTTATTAAGCATTTAAAATATGGTAAGTGTATGTGAGTGAGAAACTGAATTGCTCGTGTAATTTACTATAATGTAATTAATTTATAAATAAAAGAGCTACAGGGTTCTTTTGAAATGTTGGAGTAAGGACTTCTGAAAATCCACATAAACAATGAGAACAGAATAAAATGGTCAAAATCAATTTTTGAAAAGTCTAGAAATGAACCAAAGGTTTGTAACAATCTGAAAAGTGTTTAGTTAGAAAAAATGGCTGAATTATGGTAAAATGAGTAAGCATTGTGGCATTATAACTTGCACTATTCCCATTCTGCTCTTACAATGTCCTCAGTTACTTTGAAAACCATCCGTCTTAGAACCATGGTAACTGTGAAAAACAGCAGCCAAGTAGCTATAGTTGGTTTGGAGCTCCCAAAAAAATGCATTTCAATTTGTTTTTATTTGATCTGTCTAGCAACTCCTAGAAATATTCCCATTTTCAGGGCTTATCTTTATTAGACTCAGAGCTTGCTCATTGAGGAAAGCCTGTCCTTAGGGAACTTGACAAAAATAATCAGCAGTAACTGTTTTGCATTGTAGTTGCATGAGGGAGCAATATCAGTTGAAGTAGGTAAGAAGTGGGCCAAAAACTTAAAAGAAAAATTAGAGAATGAGATATTCATAGTAGGTTTTGAAAATCTTCAATGTATTCAGAATTTAGAAGGCCACAAGTGTTCAGGGTTGTGTGCATGCCCGGGAAAGACTTGAAAAGGTCTTAATCACTCATTTTTATCTGAATATTTGGTTTAATATATTTATATTTTTAATTTTATTTTTAGTTTCAAGTATATAGTACATTGGTTAGACATTTATATAGTTTTTAAAATGAGCCCCCTAATTGCTCTTTCATGGCTTAATATACTTTAAAAAATTGATTAATGTTATTCATCAGAATAATAGAACAAATACCACATAATATATACCTACAAAAAAGAATTTCACAAAATACATCTTTCATGATTGAAAAAACAAAACACTCAACAAATTGGAGATGAAAAGAATCCTTCTCAACCTAATAAATAGCATCCAAGAAAATCTCATAGCTAACATTATAGTCAATGGTGAAACACAGAAAAATATCCTCTAAGACCAGGAACAAAACAATGATGTCTGCCTTTACCTCATTTGTGAATCACATTTTACTAGAAGTTCCAGTAAGAATAATTTGGCAAGAAAAAGAAATAAGACATCCAGATTGGAAAGGAAACTATTTTCTTTTGCAGATTACATGATATCGTATATAGAAAATCCTAATAAACACAAACACATACATATGATATTTGAATAATATCTCAAGAGGTGTATAAGAGTGTTTAAGTGCAGGAGTTAGGAGTTACACTGCTGGACAGCATGATTAGACTGCTGGATTTTAAGTCATCTTGTGATAGCTCCTCATCTTGCATTGATCATGAACTCAGGAACTGATTTCTTAAGGCACCAGACACCTCCATCTCTGCTGAGGTTTACAAAGCTTTCTTGAGTTTTTAAGCCAGTTATGCTCACTGGAAAAAGTTTTTTTTTAAGTAACAGCTCTATATACCTAGGGCTCTCTTCCATAACAGCTAGGAAATGAGTGATTATAACATCAGCATAATATTACTTAAAGAAGGCAGTGTCTCCTTTATTAAAAAGAAGTTTATAAAGTCATTAAGTCCTGTTTTGGAACTTACCTGAATACTAAAACTTGACAGTCTGAAAAATAACTCTTGATGCTGCTGTTTCGAAAGAGCTGGTTGAGCTGAAAGACATGGTAATGTTTCTTTCATCAGAATCCTAGGCTAGGTGGCCTCAGAGAATTCTCAGGCACTGAGAAAACTTCTCCATCTATATTTTCTTGTCTCAACAAACACTAACCCAGGTATGTGTACCAAAAAATTCTTTGTTCTAGGGTATGACTTAGCTACATGACTCTGGGATAGCTACTGAAACTTTCTGTGACTATCTCTTAATTTGTAAAACAGGATTAAGAATCTGTATTCATGAATTGTTATGAAAAGTCACTATTTGACTACTTAGCATTCATAGGTCATTTTCTACATGAAAACAGAGTGGACACAATTTCATTCTCACCACATCCTCTATATTTCTCTTGTTCCGTTGATGTTTGGTGGTGCCTGGCTGGGCTATGTCCTGGAAATAGAGTAGGTTGGTGACAGTGAAATTCAGCTGGAAATGCTGGGGACTGGGACTGCTTGTTGGCTTGTCTGTCAGCAGATGAACTAATGGCTCCACTTCTAGAATAAAAAAAAAAGTATAAAACCTCTGAGCAAGGTTTTAGCAAAGAGGTTATTCAATCCAGTCTACTTATTTCTGGTAATGTGACTTGAAGTTTTTAAAGGTGGGATACAGAATCTCTTCCATCCATCTACCCACTTTGAATCTATTCATCTGACTACCTGATCAACCCTCTTTCCATCAAGCATTGTGAGAGTTTACTAAGATGTTAAAGAGAGAAGACTGGGCCTCTCTGGGACATAGCTGGCAAATGTAGGTACTGACCATCCCAGTAGGCTTCTGTTACATACCTTTGCTAACCTAGGTTCCTGATATGTCTTACTTCCTCTGGTCTTCTTCCCCTCTGCCAATCCATTTCTGTGTAGCACCCAGAAGATGAGCTTTTGAAAGCAGAACTCTGAGTGTGTTGTGTTCCTCTATAAATCATTCCAGGACCCAAGATAGTACGCCCACCTCTTTAGCCTCAGTAACTTCTCCCATGTCAAAGCATATGCCCTGTACTTCCTATCTTCTAGGTTAAAGATATATGTAGCAAAACTATCCATCTCAGGCTAGGTCATGTTTTCCATTACATCTCAGTTTCTTCATCACTTCCTTATGCAAACATTTTAAGAAAGTGATGTGTGTGCCTCCTTAAGATTCTCACGGGCTCTTGAAATCTCCTTATAGGAATTTTCATAATGTATCATCAGTATTCATTTGCATTAAATATTTGTTGAATAAATGAATGAATGCATGACTCACAAAGAGAGGGTCTAAGAGGGCAGTACAGGATTCTCCATCTTTTGGGCTGGAAAAATATATGTGCAAAAATAAATATTCCTTTGAGGATAATTGCTGCATGTTCTCTTCCTGCCTCCTGTTAAATGACCCACTGCCATGAACATGGGTCATCAACATGGGCCTCCAAGTAGCACTGCTTTTCTCTCTAGAGCCTATGTCTATTCCATTCCATTCTTCCTCACAACCCCATCTCTTCAAGCCACGAAACTAGCCTCCTATCTTTACCTGTTACATGAATATCCACCAAGTGGTAGGTAGAACCCAGCCAGTGGGATGAAGCATTCAGGGTCTTGTCTAGAAAGACTTGCTTCACCATGTTTGGGTCCATACTGGAGGAAAACAATTCCTGGATGGTGACCAATATGGGGTCCAACCTAGAGACAAATACCACAATAATTCAGCCAGCATCCAATACTAGAAGAGTCTTCTGAGTTCTTGCTTTATAGAGTCGAAGACCTAGGAGCAAGCAGTGAGGGATTGATTATCTGGCTGCCTCTTTTCTTGAAATAGAGAAGAAATCCTGATCAAAAAGGAAGGTTTCCAGGAGTTGGGAATAGAAACAACAACAGTAACAATCATGAATATCTATTGAGCACCTCTAAAAAGTGACTTACACATTCCTTCACCATCACTCTGATGGAAGGTTATTATAATTATTCTCATGTTAAAGACAGAAGAACTGAAGTTCAAACTTCAGTATTCAAAACAATGTGCCTCATGATCCTCCTCCCCAGTGTAGATGGCCTAGTTCCTCCACTAGTCCCTCAGAAACCTGTGTTCAAACACAACTTGACAGTTCTTGGGCTGTTCACTTCACTTCTCTGAGCCTCAGTTTTCCCATCCGAACAATGGAGACAATCACTGTATACACTTCATCTAGCTGTTGTGAGAATTAAATGAGATGATAATGCATGAAAATGCTCAGCAGGGAGCCTGGCCATGGTAAATGTTATTATTGGGCTGATATTAGTTGAAAGTACCCACAAGAGAAGAAGGTGATGGATGCTGAGAATTGGTGGCTCCATGAAATTAATCTTTTTCCCACCCCTGAAAACCTATGGAAGGAGATGGTAGGATTAGCTGACAGGGATGTGGGGGAATAGTCACAGTGTCAGTCCTTTCAGATCAAAGATGTGCCATGAGAGCTCGGAGCCACAAGCCACCAACTCAGTCAATGCTTACAATCTCCTCAACTTACTTCAAGTCAGTAACCAGGCAGGCGAGGAATACATCTCCTAGCTGGCTTCCCCTGTAGAGTTTGGTGACCTAAATTAAGAGGAGAGTGTGAGTGAGATGGCGATCTCTTGGGGCTGGAGGTAGCTCCCAGAACTGGTGAAAGAATATAGGCCTTAAAGCAAAAGAGATCTGAGTTCAAATTCTGGCTCTGCCCCCAACACACTGTGTGACCTTAGGCATGCCACTCCCCTTTCTGAGCCTCAGTTTGCTCATCTGGAAAATGGGGAAGGCAGCCACAACACTGCCTAGGGAAACTGAGAGAACCCAGAATATGTAGGTAAAGTTAAGAGTTGAAACAATCACTTAATAAATGTAAGTTAAACAGAGGAATAAGAGTGGTACTCAGGGCGCAAAGAGATGGGAAGGGTGAGAGTGACCCTACCTTGTTCTGGATGTCCCTCAGCAGGGCAGTGTACTCTGAGGACGTGGGGTCTGGGTTGCTGAGGTTCCAGTTGATGATGCGGAAATTTAGCTGGTGCTTGCTCTGGATAGACAAACTCTGCGGGGCATAGCCTGGGGCCACAGAGAGGAAGAAAAGACAGGAGGAGATGCTCAGCTTTTATCACATGGTGTCTCAAGGGGCCCCTGCCTGCAGTTAGAATTAGCCCAAATCAAGCCCATACCCTGGGGGCTGTGGGGACTCCAAAATGGAAAGTCATTCAAAGAGGGAGAAAACTTGAATTTTACAGGAATTGTCCTAAGCCAAGATTTTATGCTGATGTTTGTGCAGTTACCACTTCCTGCAATGTTCTTCTACCCTCTTCTTTTCCTGGAAAACTCCTATTCATGCTTCAGAAGCCTAATGAGAGGGAGCTCCAGGAGAGCAGGGACCTGCCTATCCCATCTTGTTCTTGTCATGTGCCAGTGCCTAGCACAGTTCTGGTCACATACTATTTCTTTTCAGGAAGCTCTCCTTGACTTGTCCTGCACCCCTGCTCCCAGAGCAGCTGGTTAATTAGTGTTGATGCAACTTTTGTGTCCCTAAGTGATCTTTAGTTCACTTGGCTATGAGTTTTTCAGGGACAAAACCTGTCTTCTATCTCTGTTCCCAGCACAAGATTTGGGGCAGAATGGTCACACATGTGTGTTTGTTAAATGAATGAATACGAACTGCAGCAGATCCCCAAATATGAGGGGCTGAGTACTCATCCTTCATGTGTTCACTCATTCACTCATTCATTTGGGTACTACAATGTGCTGACATATGAAGAACTGAGGATCTAGTGCCACACTAGACAAAATCTGATTTTACAGAGTTGGGTAATTAAACAAGTAATTACAGTAGAGTGTAGTGTCTGTGTGGTGTTCATAGAGGGACCATGGGACCATGTACAGCAGGCTTTCTCATCAGAATTACTGATGAGCACTTACTGATGGGGCTATATAATTTTTGGTGGTGGGGTTCTCCTGTGCATTAAAGAATATTAACAACATCCCTAGCCTCTGTCTACTAGATGACAAAAATTTTTCTAGACATTGCCAAGAGTCTCCTGGGAAGAGAGTAGAATTGCCCCTGGGTAAGAACCACTGGCACAGCAGAACCTTGCATAGAAGAAACCCTGTCTCAAGAGATCCCACATGTCTGTCATTTTCGGTTTTGAATTAAAATTCATTACATTAATTTGGTCAAAGAATACTACATTATTTACTGAAATAACAGGAAAGACCCTCTTTGTGAAGGTTGGGGAGGGTGTTCCCTGGCCAGAACTTAAACTGATTTCTTAAGGAGAAAATAAAATAGAACAAAGATGTGTATTGATTGCTGTGAATCCAAGTTCAGCATAAACACTCACCATTGACAAGGAGGCTGTCCTTGACCAGGGTGTAGGGGCCCATTTGGGTAACACTATGAGTCAGCTGGCTCAGCTCCCAGTAAAGTTGGTCTCTGTCTAGCCCATGATCCAAGGGGTCAGAGTGGTAGGTGCAGACAACATCCACACTGGTAGCTGCTCCATTCTTCTCAGGCCTAGGGAGAAAGGCATGTAGAACTCTAGAGAGAGATCCTGAAATCTCAGGTGCTCCTCCTAGAAAGAGGGAGGAGCAAATGTGAGGCAAGTGGGAGGACTGAAAAGAGAATGGTCACCAAAAGTGGCCATTACTGTCAAATGCTCAGGAAAGAGTCTTACCTGAGGGAAATCAATTTGCAACCCAAGTAGTAGGGGGCCAGAATGCTCTTCTTAAATAAGGATCTAAGCTGGAGAGGAAGGAGGAAGAAGATGAGCAGGAAGGTTGAGTGAGGGATTGGGTGGTATTTATACCCCCAGGAGCTGCTGGGACCTGGGTCTCACCAGGAGCTGCAGGACCTTCTCAGTGTGGTTGAACATGGGTGAGCCATTGCTCATGTCTGTTGAATACTGGAGATTGGAGATGGTAAAGTTAAGTGTGAGGTTTTCCAGGCTGTACAGTAGAGCTTAAGAAGAGGAGGGGAGAGATGGCAGTTACTGAGAGCTGGCCTGAGACCAGATTAGAGCCCTGCATTCATGATAATCTGTTGTCTTCTTTTCCAGTGGCTCCACAAACCACCAGTATTATCATCCAAGTCAAAACCATCATATCCAAAAGCATCAGCTCCTCCTCCCTCACTTCCAAGTAACACTAATTCCTAATTCTACATGAAGAATGGTCCTCACATACATCCCCTCTCTCAATCTGTCTCCCAACCCAGTTCTTATTTTATTTCAACTGGACGAATATTCCAGTAAGCTCACTGGACACCCTGTTTAAAGTATGTTTCCTATATTAAATACTAGAAGAAATCTTCTGAAATCAAAATCTCACTATGGTCACCACTGTTCTATGTCATGCATGGCTCAATATGGTGTTTAGCATTAAGTTCAAGCTTCTTTTCCTGGCTCCCAAGTTCCTCCTCAATCTGGTTCTTGCCAGCCTCTCAGTTTCATTTAGTGATCTGCTATATATTAAGATTTATACTTCAGGAAAACCAAATCCCTCTCAATTCTCTTTATACACTATGCTATTTCTGTCTATTGACCTTTTGCTCATGGAATCTCCTCTGTCAGGGGATACCCTTTCCAGGCTCTATTTGCCTAGAGCACTCCTACTCATTCTTAAAGGTTCTGTTTGGGTTAAATTTCACCAGAAAGCTCTTCCCCTCTAAATTATTCCAAATGACTCTTCCCCAAACATCCCACATCACATTATAATTGTCTTTTAATCTCACAAGATTGGGGTCTCCATGAAGGCAGGCATTAAACTGAACTGTTGTTATAATCTCTGTGATCAAGGTAATTGCCCTAAAACCAGGATTTCACACCCTAGATTACCAGTCCCTGTGTGACAATTGGTAGGTGGAGGTGTGGGGCTTGAGAGCTTCTCTGAGGAAGGAAAGGGGGCCCCTCAAATACCTGTGGTTGCTTCTGGTTGCACAGGAGATGATAAAGCAGGCAGGAATGTGGTGGCCAGCTCAGGATCTGTGAAAATGGCAGTCATCAGAGAGGGAGAGAGCCCCCCACAGAGTGGTAGAAACACATCAAGCTCTCCTGGGCTCCAGCAGTGGTTGTCCCAGAACAAGCATTCACAGGTATGTCATAAATGAAAGTGAGGGAAGGAGTGATTATGTGAGCAGAGGGATGAGCAAACCTATAAACGAAATGAATTCAAGAGAGTGAGAGTGGGTAAATAAGAGAGAGAATGAACAAAGATTACAGATAGATGGGTTGGCAGAAAAATGGACAAAGGGGATACCTGGATAGATAGAGGAAGAATGGACAAATCCAGGGTCAAAGAAAAAGCAAGAGGAATAAAGACAAGGAAGAGACATTGGTGGAGTGGAAGGAAAGAAGGAAGGAAGGACAGAAATAGGGGAAGAAAATGGATAAATGATCAGAAGGATGGACAAATGGTCAAAAAGAGAAAAATAAATACAAGGAAGAAAAGTTGGAGAGATAGATGGAAGAACAAAAGGAAAAAAGGACAAACAGGTGAATAAGCAGGATGGTTGAATGGAAGGAAGGAAGGAAGGAAGGAAGGAAGGAAGGAAGGAAGGAAGGAAGGAAGGAAGGAAGGAAGGAAAGTGAATGACTAGAAAGAGAAGAGGAAAGATGGATGGAAGGGATAGAGGGATGGACAAAGGGAAGGAGGAGGGGAGAAAAGGAGAAAGGAAGGTGTCTGAGAGAAGGGACAACTGAGAGGATGGAAGAATTGGTGAGTTAAAAGATAAACAAATGGACTGTTGTATAAGTGCATGGGCAAATTTGGTCTAACCACTGAGTTTGCATCTCGACACTAAGGCCCCTTGTGAGGCCCCATAAGAGATTTTGTTGTTAGGTGGCATAGGATACAAGGTCACTATCTGACCTCAACTCCTATCCCTGTAGGGAATGCTTGTTTAAATTTCTTCTTCCAACCCAAAGGGGTATGAAAATTTTAGAAAGCCAATACCATGGATGCAGGTCCAAAAAGAGGCAAAGGACTCAGCATTCTTCCTCTCATTGACACCTTGGCCCCACTCAGAAGAAGAACCTGAGTTTGGGGCAAGCTCCCTTTGCCAGTGAAGAGAAAAGTTTGGCTCAAGACCCATGAAGGCTGAAAGAGGCACTGGAGGCAAAGATACATACTTGTAGGAGACTCATCTGGACCACGTTCGTTATAGCCTGGAAATAAAAAAAGTCACATATAAGGAGAGATGACAGAACAATCTCAGATATCCCATGCCTTAGTCCATGTGGGGCTCCTGCTCAGATGCCTTTCCTTCTGCATACCAGGCGAGCATCTACTCATCTTCTAAGATGAGACTCAAATGTT